TTTTATCATAAATGTATATAAAAAGTAAAAAATTAAAAACAATTTTTTTATGACATTTTTATATAACTTTTATATATTATTAAATGAGTAAATACACTTAATATTATAACTCTCAAATAAATAAAGGATTTTTTTAACTTACTTTTTATGACACATGTTAAGGGTATTTTTATCATAAATGTATATAAAAAGTAAAAAATTAATATTAATTTTAGTGTCAGTGTTAAATAGATAAATTTAATTGGATGGTTAGAAAATTAAATATTAATTTATATTTTTTTAATATAAATTTATGATAAAAAATATATTTAATATAGTTTTAGTTTATATTTTTAAGGTATAAGTTAGATAAATTTAATAAAAAATTAAAGAAAGAAAAAATTACAAATGGAGAAGATAAAGCCGTGCAGGCCATTCATCTTCTTTAAGAAGACATGTTTCCGATGATTGCTAGTTAAAAATTTCCAAATCCAGTTAAACGGATTTAAAGAATTTAAAAGGATTATACATTCTAGAACTCATATTATCTTTATTCTACTCCCAAATCTTTTATTCAACGTATCATAAAATATCAGTGTGAATTAAACAAAATTTTCAATTTTTGAGTTGTCCCTGTAAGTATATATATATAGTTTGTTCTGGGTCAAATGTTGCCTCTGTAATGGAATTGAGTAATGAGTAATTTAACCATCAAAAATAACTTTGATAGAAAGAAAAGGATATCTGTTTGTCGAGAGAAGTGACAATAGAGAGACACAAATAGAGAAGTCAGAAATTAAATCTGTTTTTGTTAAGTATTTTTTTGGGATCGTTGTGACACAACTCGTTAAGTTCTGCCCGCTAACGCTCATGCAACTTGCTGTTCTTAGAGAAGATGATCGCTTAGCATTTTGTCCTCTCGTTTTTGGGTTAAAATTAATTTTTAGCCCCTCACCTTTTAGTTCCTAACCTTATAATATGATACTTTTAACTATTTATTTTACAAAATTGATAAATTTTAACTCTTTATCTTACAAAGTTGATGGATTTTAGCCCCTCACCTTATACTATACTATGACACTTTTAATCCATTATCTATATAAATAAAAGAAAATAACCCTCACTTAACATTATGTTATAATTGTAATATCTCAAAATTTGGTATATTTTAGCATTAAGTAAGGGACTTATTTGAGGAAAAATATTGTTTTAGGGCTTAATAGTCCAATTTCAAAATCTGAGGGACTAAAAAGAAAGGGAATGAGATAAGGATCAGCTCCTTTTCTTTTTCTCTTTTTCTTTCTTTCTTTTCTTCCTCATCAGCCGCGTGTTTCTGCTTCTCTTCTTCTTCCCC